GTTGCTCATTAATTCCTTCATTTGCCTATTTGTATTATAAGCTTCCAATTCCTGGGTACTTTCTTTGAATTTGTTACGAAAAGTAGCCGGGCAGTGCTGAGGGTTTACTCCTGCCTTTCTATGCAAGTCACTCCTGATGGTGCTTGGGGTCCATCTGGGGTATTGGAGATTGAACCAGGGTCAGCCCCATGTAAAGCAAATGCCTTAACTCTTGTACTATCTCTCTGACCCCTTTAACAAGAATTTTTCTTTTATTTATTTTTAATTTTATTTTAGTTTGGGTTGGGGCCACACACTAAAGTGCTCAAGACTTACTCTTGGTTATGTGCTCAGGGATCACTCTTGATAATGCTCGGGAGACCATATGTTGTGCGGGAGTTAATCCCAGGACAGCCACATGCAAGGCAAGTGTGTTAACTCCTGTACCCCTCTAGCCCAAGCATTTTATTATATTTGGTAAGCAGGGGATGGTTTGGGCCACACCTGGTGAAGCTTAGGGCTTATTCCTAGCTCTGTGCTTAGGGGTCATTGCTAGCTGTGTTCAGAGGACCATACTGGGGTTGGCCACATGCAAGGCAAGCACAATTAATCCTTGTACTCAAATTTTAGTTCTTAAAGAGATTAGGAATGTTGCCTAAGATTGAAAACAAAGTTAGAAGCAACTTTAGATGCTTTGGACTTTTCCAGGGCTCATAATTCTTGCAATATTCCAGAAAGAGTAAGCTGCTATTATATATGGTGGGCATTCAGTAAATATTTGTGAATAGAACTGATGAATTAAATAAAGGATTCATATGTATGCATGAATATGATGGTCTGTATCTTAAATTATAAGTATTAGGTAGAACTGATGCCTTTTTTTTGGCATTTTGGCTTTTTGGGGTCATACCCAGCAATGCTTAGGGGTTACTGGTGGCTCTACACTCAGGAAATACTCTTGGCAATGCTCAGGGGATTATATGGGATGCCCAGGATTGAATCCAGGTTGGCTACATGCAAGGCAAATGCCCTACCTACTATTCTATCGTTAAAGCTCCAGAGCTAATTCTAGTAGATTTGTTGAGAGAATCAGAATTAATAAATGTCAAGCACATAGCACATAAAAGCTTTCAAATAAAGTCTTATGCAGATGTGATATTGTGTTGTTGAATAGAATTTTTCACTCTTCTCCTTATCAGTGCCTAACAGTATTTCTAGATTTTTAAAATAATGTGTGTGTATGTGTGTGTGTGTCTGAGAGAGAGAGAGAGAGAGGAGAGAGAGAGGTCATGTGGATCATGGTGGATCATGACACATCAAACATCTTCCCTGTAATGATTTCTATTTCCTTAAAGGGAATCATGAAGTAGGCTAGTGAATGCAGTTCAGTGGTAGTGCAAGTAGGGGGACCTAGATTTCATTCTCATTGTGAATGAAGGGGAGCGAATCTTTTGAAACATAAGTTATTTCACTCAGGTTATTTGACTGGATTAGTAATGGTAATTCTGAGTTTTAGTGGCTTTGTTCACTAAGCCATATATCCCATATGTCTCTGTGTTTGTGTTGAACACTACACATTTTGACATCTGGTTTTGATCATTAAAACAATTGTTCACCTATATGTGAAGTCTAAAATAGCCAAATTCCCAGAAGCAAAGAATTGAAAGGTGGTGGCATCGACAACATAGAGCATAAAAGCTTTTATAGGGACTGAGAATATAGTTTTTGGTAGAGCACTTGCCTTGCATAGGCAAGACCTTGGGTTTGACCCCCAGCACCACACACACACAGCAGTACCCCTTGGGATCCCGACATGGGCTTTTCACCATCAGTGTTTGGCTCTTACTGTGTTCTGGGATGGTTCTGGGGTGGTTTAGAACTGGGATGGTTCAGAACTGGGTTGGTTTCTATCTATTTTTTACATAACTGTTAATGGGAGGGACCACTGTATCACTGTGTCACTGTCATTCTGTTGTTCATCGATTGCCTCAAGCAGACCCCAGTAACGTCTCTTTCATCCTAGCCCTGAGATTTTAAAAAGTGCCACATTCGAGGCTCTTTCAAGGTCAGGAGAATGAGACCCATCATTGTTACTGGTTTTTGGCATATTGAATACACCATGGGGAGTTTGCCAGACTCTGCCGTGTGCTTTTGGTAGCCTGCCTGGTTCTCCAGAGTAAGAACTAGATAATAAGGTGTTGCATGGCCACAAATGCGGCCGCATGCTTCTGGGAGCAGGGTTTTATAGTTTGTAGGTCTTGGCTGTTGATGGGATTATATGGCACAGGGGGCAGTTGGTGGGTGTAATGCCTGCATGCTGGAAGATGGAGGATCTGGGTGGAGGAGTCCCCAGTCCCAATCCGAGCAGGCTTGGAGATCTATGCCCCGGGTCTCGCACACCTGGGTTCCTCTGCCAGATCCTTCATGCGTGAGGCTTGTCCAAACGTGTGGAGAGTGGTCTTAAGCATGACTGTGGCTGGAAATGGAGGTCTTCAGCTGCCGGGGCTCTGATCAGGATGGGGAGAGAAACTCAAACCCCCCTCCTCCGAGGTGCCCTGGCGAGGACAGCCAGGCGTGGAAGCAGGAGACTCGTGTGTGCTGTTCTCTTCCAGGAGCAGGGAAGTTTTACTTTCTTTCATAGATTTTATTTTTTTTGAAATTGCATTTTTATGTTTATGTAAACCAAGAAGTAGATTAACAAAAGAATCCCTAACATCTAGATTTTAAAAACTGTACTCTTATATGTGCCTTTTTTTATAAACTAAATGCAAAAACTTCTTATTTTATTAGTGGAAGAAAAATGAAACACCCCAGATCATTAAACCTTATTGAAGTTCTTATGCATTGAAACAGACATATAAATATTAAATAAGCAGTGCCAATATGTATGATTAAGCAAGAAATAAACATTTAGTTTTATTTTTTCAACTTATTTTTAAAAGCATACTACTTTTTATTTGTTAGCCTTTTTCCCCCAAAATTTTTATTTAATTGTTTAATTGTGTCTACATCTGGTCATGGAATTAAGTGTTGCTCTTGAAGGTAAACTAAGTGATTTTCAAATTTATTTTCCTAGTTCCTCTTTTGACAGATGAAAGTAAATTTGCTTGTTCTAGTAAAACTTAATTTTCAGGCTTTCTGGATACCTTAATTGTAACTGTCAGTGTTGTACTGGTCAATATATGAAAAACATATTCTTTTCCGCTACTTAATTTATCTGAAAGTGAACTTGCAGTGATGAAGAATTTATGAAAAATATGTTGTATGTATTTCAATGTTTAGAAAATAACACAAGTAAAACTGGTTTCTGAAAACAGGCTTCATGTTCAAAAATAAAGAACAAAATGACATTTTGAAATTTTTTTAAAAAGTAGACTGAATTTGTTGAACATCTTCTCTTTGTCAGAATCTGTTAGAGTCAAAGAGGCAGAAGTTGCAGACCCAATCCTCCAGGAGACAATCTAATATGCATGTAATATAGTAAGATTACACTAAGTAAGGTTACAACAGGACCAGCTATCTGGCACAGTAAAAGAAATGATGGTATGCGGGTATAAATTATTCTTGAATAAAGTAATAGTGTCTTTTTTATGGTAGAAGTAATTTTCTCAGGACAGCAATTTACACATAAGTGTTATTAACATACATGAGCCTGTTCTACATTGTCTGGAAGTCCAGTGGGTGTTTTGGCTATCCCGTCATCTTGTTCAGCCAGGCTTCTTTGCTAAGGACAGTGCTTTTAGGGTGATAAACTACCTCTGCTCTTAGTAGGCTCTTGTAGCGGACGCTGGCTGTGTTTCCTTCTCCGATGCTGTTCAAACTCTTTGATATATTAATAATTTACTTCCATGTTCATTTGGGGACAAAACCTGGTGATGCTCAGGAGTCCTCAGGCACTATGCTCAGTACTTGGAGGAGTGGGGGGGAGTTTCTCGTGGCAGTGTTTGAGGGGGAGTGCTGTGCTGAGGATCTAACCTGGGGTGACCATATGAAAAGCATGAGCTCCAGTCACTTGTCATCTCCCTTATCCCTTGCCAGGTGACTTTTTGGGGGGAGGGGCGGGCTTTTGGGCTGCATCAAGTGGATTGTGCCTTTCTTGGCTTTATGCTCAGGGATCACTCCTGGTAGAACTTGGGATTCACCCAGAGTCAGATGCATGCAAGCAAGTGCCTTGCCCTTTGGACTGCCCTCCTAGGCTTTTTTTCCAAACACAAATTTAGTTATATATTTCTCCTCTGTTAAATTCTCTGATGTCTCTCTCTCTCTCTCTTTTTTTTACCCAAAAAGTCCACACCTTTCTAGCAGAATCTCCCACCGTGTCTTTCAACTTAGTTCCTATCTTAACCATGTCCATTATTTTGACATAAAACTTTAGATGAGATATTTACCACCACTCAGCATGTTCGGTATTTTTGTTTTGTTTTGTCTGCCTCCTTCTATTATGTCAACTTCATCAAGATGGTGATTTTTGTGTTAGATTAAGTGTTGCATTTCTTAGAACAGACCTTTACACATAGTAAGCACGTGGCAAATTTGCATGCATGCATGAATAACTTTTTTTTAAAGTCAGCCTCTTTTTATAAGCACAGTAGAGTTAATATTTAGTACTTACTATGTGCCATAGACTGTTTTAATTATATTAAATTCCATTTCTCACATCAAAATACTTCTAAGTTCTATTCAAGAAATTATAAGGTCATTGGTGACTCATCAAATGCTAGTAGTATGGTAGAAATTGATATTTGTGACTTGTTTCAATAACAATCTGATAGAATATGTCTATTGGGAAGTTTTATTCTAGGTAACATTTTTCTGTAAGTGAAGAATGAGAAATCAAGTTGTCTTCCTTCAAAAGCTGGTCTATAAACAGAAATCTCTATGCAGCTGAGCCATTTAATTTTCCTTATGTTCTGTGATTCTAAATGCTGAATTACCACAGATTGCAATCCTACACGGACAAAAAAGGTTATTTCCATTTATAGGTTGCTAATTTCTTTTTCACCATTAAAATTTATTTCAAGTTGCAATTCAGTGCTTGGAGACAGTATTTAAAATCAGCTCAGAAGATACACACCTAGCAGTTTCACAGCCTTTGACAGAAATGTTCACCAATTCTTTCTGTAAGGTAAGCTGTTTGTTTCCTATTTGCATATCAGTTAAATGACTATAGAATTGTATTTTTAACAATTGAAGGATCATGCCTATAAGTAACTCACTCTCCTTACCTCCCCCCAACCCCCCCGGTAAAATATTATCTCCAGGGAGGGAAGTTACGAATAGGCAGCCGGGATTAATAGGGGCAAAGAGCAGGGGCCCTGGAGGCATTGGTGGTGCAGGGGTGTGGGACGTGTATATGCGAACCACAGAGCCCACGGCATTGAGAGCATGAGATCCCGACCACAACAGCCACATTTTAAAATGTGCCTGTTGAGGAGGCAGGCTAGGGTGCGAGAGGGAAATTGACACGGGCGACAGGATTGGTGTTGGAACATTATGTGCCTGAAACTTAACTACGGATAACTTCGTAACTCAGGGTGTCTTAATAAAAATTTTAAAAAATAAATTGATTATGTACGTTAGTAGATCCCATAGTGGGTGATACTGCTTTCAAGATGGCTAGAACCTTCTCGCACCTTGTAGTGATGTTAGTAAAAGTCCCAGGTAAATTTGGAGTCTCTTTCTGTTTGGTAGTTTAAAACTGAGATTTCCTGGGGTGAGTGCTGAGTAATGTTTTTTCTGAAAAGGAAATGCTAGACCAAATATGTTTGGGAGCCTCTGGTCTACCTGGATACCATCTGGATCATAAAATATGGTTCTTTTCAATGTGCCTTAGCTCTTCATATTAGCACTATTCTCATCTTCTAATATTTGAATGATATTTGAATGATATGACTTCGACAACTTTGCTAATCTTTTATAGTGTCTTAATATTTTTAATTTTGACATTTGAATTGACATTCTGCTTGGAATACAAGTTAAAGACAAAGCTTCTTTCTCTTTTTCTTTTTTTTGGTGAAGCAAAATAGTTTTATTAAAAGAAATTTACTTAGAGAATTGTGAGGGGAGAGAAATATGTGTTCAAGAGAGATTGTGAGTGTCTCCAGAGTGGTAAAAGCCACTAATGTCACATTTAGAAAGAAGCCATGCAGAAATAGATTTATCAGGAATTGAGCCATCATTTTGAAGTAAATGTCATCATGGTGGCCATTGGTGGGATTCTATGAACCAGGATTCTTAGAATTCAGGTTCATTGTGAAAACTCAGACTGAACATGGTTTCTGGATTTTAAAGGAAACATGGGCCATAATATTGGAAAAACAAAAAAAGAATAATTAGTTCAGGCCCCCAGAGTGCTTCCCCATGAGTTTTTTAAAAATCATGTTTAATGCCTCATCAGCTCCTTTTCTTACTCTAGTTCTGTATTTAAGCTTTAGTACTGAGTGAGGGACTCACGAGAGAAGCCGAAACATGCAGTACAGGCTTCAGTATGTCATAGAGACAGCCAGAACAACAACAGATGTGTGTATGTGCTTGTGTGTGTGTGTAATTTTTCTTGTTCTCTTATGGGATGTGAGGGAGAATGCCACACCCTACGAGGGTCGGAGCTTACTTCTGACTCTGTGCTCAGGATCATTCCTGATTGTGAACTGAGAACAGATGTGGTGCGATTGAGCAAGGTTCTGCCCCGTGCAACACCTTAATTACTCTGTCCTCTCTCTCTGACCTGCTAACATGAATATTGCTGAGATCATATTGCCTGTGCCTAGATCTTGTTGGAAAGAGGTTCTTAGAGTTACAGTGACAGTGGGACTGTGGTGGTGAACTGCTTTCTATACTTGGCAAAAATAAGATTACAGTTGTACTCTCATTCATTAAACACATGAGTTCTAATTACATGGTAGGATATGAGGAGATGGCACTCCTCATTTGTTTTTCTCGTCAGGGAATTCCCCTTTCCTTCTCTTTGGTTGCTGTGGTTCTTTTCATTGTTTGGGCTTGTGGTCTCCTCAGGGAGCCCCATTTCAGTGGCTCGGTGCAGCTGTGGCTGACGTGTGTCCTCTTTCTTGGAAGCCCCAGCGGGCCGGGCTCTAGGCCGCTCTTGGATGTGTTCACTTTGGCCTTCTCACCTTTGACCAAACAATAAAAAGACAGAACTTTTTTTTTTTTAATCCCTAAGGAAGTACAGATCAACTCTATGTATAAATATAAATAGAGTTCTTTTTTTTTCTTTTTCTTTCTGTTTGTGGCTGCTGTTTCTCTCTGATAGTACTTTTATGGGAAGATTTGATTTGATGGTACTTTCATGGGCAAGATTTAGAAGACAGATGCTTATAACCTAAATTTCAACCTTTTTTTTTAAATGACATCCCCCCACCCAAATCATGATTTCCCCCCCCCCCCCCCCCCATCTATAAACTGACTAGGCTTATTGGAATATTGGAAAAGGAAAAAAAAGGAGGACTTCAAAGTCTGCTCAGGAGACAAAAATTTTAACCTCCAAATATTGCTGTTTTGTGCAGTTTTGTGTATGCTTTTCCAGTCTTTGCTGTTTATCATTTGTGCATGTGTAAGTAGTTGTATGTGTACATATTTATAAGATATTATGAATGCTGTTTTTGGTAAATGGATTTACCAAACCTTAAAATATTGAACATTTTGTTTCAAATTTCCACTAATGCAAACAATTCTTTTAACTTTTTTCTATTCATTTTCTTTGCCAATTGATACTTTTTGTATACCTGTTAAGTGAGGTTTTTTGGTATAGGGAGAGCAAGTATACAAAATGATTAAGGACAGGGAGACAGCTCAAATGGCAAAGCACGTGTCAAGAATAGTATGTTTAAGGCCCTGGTTTGTTCCCCTTCCCCCACATAGTCCTATTTCTACCTAAACTATGATATGACCTCTGTAAAAATTGATTCACAAATGCCTGTTATTCTCTAGAAATATTCCACATACAGTGTGACATAGATACATATTGTATCCTAGTATGTATGAGGCACTGGGTTTGATCTCAAATACCATACAGACTAATAATGATAGTAATAGATAAAGAATGACAAATAAAACATTCTGATATTCATTTTCTAATAAAAGTATGTGAGAGGATATCACCCTGTTTCTAACACTATTATTTCGATGTTTGATTTCATGGTATAGGATTATGGGTGACTTATATGTGGAACATCATTATTTCTTTATTTGTGGGTCTCTGGAATTACTTGTTAAATGGAAATACATGGATTTTATTTAATTTCAGAATGATATTCTACCACTCTCAAACTCAGTGCCTGATGATGTGGGGAAAGCTGACCAATTAAAAGATGAAGGTGAATATTTTATTTATTTATTTATTTATTGGTTTTGGGGCTACACCCAGTAATACTCAGGGGTTACTCCTGGCTCTTCACTCAGGAATCACTCCTGGCGTGGCTAGGGATGGACCTTAGGGGATGCCAAGGGATTCAACCCTAGTCAGCCACGTGCTAGGCAGTTGCCCTACCCACATTGCTCTGGCCCTAAAGGTGAACATTTTATAGAAAAATGACTTTCTGAAACTCTGGAGAAAGTGAATGACAGGCAGTAAGATTTTGTTTATACGGCTAGAACCAAACTGGACTGAGACCACAGGGCATTTGTAAAATAGAAATGACTGTAGTAGTGAAGAAGCTGGTAGTGCAAAATGACTTGTGAGCAACAAAGTAAGGTCCAGCTTGCTACTAGAGAGACAGTCTGTGGTGAGCAGAGCTTGTAAAACAAACTATTTACAGGTACTGGTTTATTTACTACCTTGAACTGTATTTACTGGGTATCTCCTAAGATCATAGATTCTTGCGTATGTTACCTAGAGAGATGAAGCTAATTTTATTGAATTTCCAGCTTCCATATGTTTATGCTTTCGAGTTCTCTAAGAGTGAGTTTATGTGTGAAGCACAATTAGCACATTTGATGATTATATATTAAAATTTCTAGGAGTGGCTATAGGAAGATTGTTAGTTTTAAGCAACAAGTCTCTATGGAAAATCTGTGTTCATCACCAGGTGTGACTGCCAAGACAACAACAACAAAAATTTGTTTCAATTTCAAATCTAGTTTTTAGTAAGTGAGCAGGACTCTCCCCTCGCCCTGCTGTAATGAAACACGAAAGACAGCTGGAGGAAACCTCTGTTTTCCTGACCATTGTTTCGCTAAATTAGTGCCAGATGTAGTTGCAGATACCTTACAGTATCCTTTGGTATAGGTGTGGTATCTAAAATGATTTCATTTTTGAAAATGAATCTCCAGTAATCCCTTTTACAAAGGAAGTTATGTTTGGCAGGGATAGCACAGATAAATATTATTTTCTTGTAGCATATGAGCATGTATGCTTTTTATATATGTTTTACCAGCTTACCCCCACGGCAGCACACTGAAAGCGTGTTTATTTAATAGATCTGTGCAAGGGAGGAATGCAAGGGTAGGTGGAGAAGGAGACAAGGGTTGAGGGGAGGCTGTACGGGGAATGGGGAGGGTTGGCTTTCCAAGGAAGAAAAGAAGCGAAGATAAGATAGGTGAGAAGAAATTAGATTTTGTCACAAGAAAATTATTGCATTTTCTCACTTATTAAAGCCTCCATTTTATAAGGTGTACAAACATTAATTTGGGGGTGGGGTCAGAGTCATATTGGTGATGCTCAGAGGTTACTCCTGGCTCTGTGCTCAGGAATTACTCCTGGCAATATTTCAGGGACCACATGGCATGTTAGGGATTGAACCCTGGTAGGCCACATGCAAGGCAAGTGTCCTACCCACTGTTTTATCTCTCCAGCTCCTAAACATTAATTTCTTTTTAACATGAATGTGTCTGTACTGCTGAAATCATTTCAACAAAGCCTCAGAGCTAGTACAGGAGTTAAGGCACGTGCCTTACACACTGCTGATTCTGATTTGGTTCCTGGCACTGCTTGGTCCTTGAGTGTCTCTGGGTGCAGTGATGGAGACCCTGCACCCAGATGAACACTGCGGGTTGGCCTGATCAATTCCTGGCTCCCCAGAGCCCAGGTAGCACCTTGGACCCTCATTGAACCTTGGGCCCAGTTGGTCAGGAATTTCTGAGAGGACCCTGAGTACAGGGGGATGTGCCCCCCTCCCCAAACAAAAAAGCCAACAAAAGTAGCCAGGAGAGCCCAGCCTCCTGAGGACCACTTGGACAGATCCATTCCTTTCATTCAGACACACTGACAGCTAAAGAGGAAGAACTCCATATCACAATATGAAGTTTATTTCCATTGTGAGTAAAAATTCAGGACGGTTTTGGGCAGGGATGTGCACAGGGAGATGGCCAGGCACGGCCACGAGTGGAAGAGGCCACGGATGTCAGGAGCTGAGCACTGGGTGGGAAGAGAGACTGAGCGGGGAGGCAAGCGCCACCTTCTCTGTGGAGAACAGGGGCGGATCCTGACGATGCGTCTGGCCGCGCAGACTCCGCTCTGAGGTAGTGATCTGACTCAGAAACACATATCCCAGAGGCTCTGTACAGCCCTGATTCTAGTTCACAGCATCTTCACAACAGCCAAGAAGGGAACAAACCTAAACGCGCAGACAGGAGAAGAGATGGGAAGCTGCAAGCAGAGTCAAGGGAGTATTACTCTGCCATCATAAAGAGGGCAGAAGGGGTGCTGCAGAGAGTACTGTGAGAATCAAGGGAGTATTACTCTGCCGTCATAAAGAGGGCAGAAGGGGTGCTGCAGAGTACTGCGAGAATCAAGGGAGTATTAGTCTGCCATCATAAAGAGGGCAGAAGGGGTGCTGCAGAGAGTACTGCGAGAATCAAGGGAGTACTACTCTGCTGTCAAAAGAGGGCAAAGGGGGGTGCTAGAGAGAGAGCTGCGGGTAGGGCACTCACCTTGCACGCGGCTGTATACAAACAAGGCTCAACCTCTAACAGCATGTTAGTAATCTCTTATACAAGAGCTTAATGGCTCCAGGGTGAAGTACAACAATCTTCACACACTTTCCTCTAAGGAATTTTTTTTGGTTGTTTTTAGTGGATTATTCATAACAACCAGTACAAAAGGAATTATTTAGGTCCTGCTTTGAGGCCAGGGTTTGGGGGTTGGTGTGGAAACATTCCGAGATATGGTGGTAGGTAGGAGCAATGATGGTGGAATTGGTGTTGGAAAATTAAATGTAACAAATCATTGTGAACAACTTTATAAAAATAAAACAAAATTTAAAATAGAAAAATATTCCTTTATAATTTTTATTTTTATGTGTATTTGTGCTTATTGTACCTACTTGTTCCTTTGCTTTAGGCAACAACCACATGAAAGAAGAAAATTACTCGGCCGCAGTGGATTGTTACACACAGGCCATAGAACTGGATCCCAATAATGCGGTTTACTTCTGTAACAGGTAACTGGCAGGCTTTACAGGTCTTAAAACATTTGCAGAGCTCAGAGGAACTCTAAACATTTATCTATGTAGAAAAATGTGAAAGTTCAGACAAGTTTAAAAAGTAAAATGTGGGGCTGGAGTGATAGTACAGCGGATAGGGTGTTTGCCTTGCATGTGGCCGACCTGGATTCGATTCCCAGCATCCCATATGGCCCCTGAGCACTGCCAGGAGTATTCCTGAGTGCAGAGCCAGGAGTAACCCCTGAGCATCGCCAGGTGTGACCCAAAAAGCAAAAATGAAATAAACAAAAAGGAAAACGTATTGCTTAGACACAAGCCCTTTGATTAACAGCAGTTATATGTTTGTTTTGATGTGAGTGTAACCCTTTTAGTTTTCTTTTCATTCACTAGCCATGCTGTAATTGAGTTCTAGTTTTCTTTTTTGACATTTTGGGGGTAAAGGGGTCGTGCCATGCCTGGCTGTGGGGTGTTGGGGATTGAACCCAAGTCAGCTGCGTGCAAGGCATGCACATTAGCCATTGTACTCTCTTTCCAGCCCCTGGATTTGATTCTTGGGAATGCATCGAGGAGGTCTCAGTGTAACATTCAATTGGGAGGAGGTAGGGGGAATGACGAGGTGGGCCGGAGGTAACGTAAGCGTGGACAGAGGATCTGGGACATAGTGGTGGTAGCAAAGTGAGGTCACGTTATGGACCCAAACTGTATTTGTCAATCAACAAGGATTAGAGGTGATGGCAGGACAAGGTGCAGGGTCATGGAAAGACCCTTGCAGAAAGTGGAGGCACAGTGACTATACTGTAGAACTAAACACTATTGTAACCATATTTTAAAAATTATGATTTTATAATTTTTTTTCAAATGAGTTGGTTTAAGTTAAGATGGTGCAGAATAAGGGATAGACCAGACACTTGAGAAAAGTACACTTTTTCAGGGTTCTGGGCTAGGTTTACTGACTTCACAGCTACCATAAAAATAGCTGAGAACCAGAGAATGAGCAACCTTATGAATCCTTTTTCTTCTTCTTAAATTTTTGTTTTTTATAGAAGTTTATTCTTAAGTGTACAATAGGTCCCAAAACACTTCATTCTAGGTGCTGCTGGCAACAGAGGTTACGCAGGGAATCCAGATGTTTAACCAGTAATAGCATTAAAGATCACCATTCTCTCCAGCACAAAGAACAGCTTACTTTTTGCCAGATTTCTTAATTCCACCAGTGGCCAGGGGGCCCTTCCCTGCGCCTTGGCTTTTTGTTCCTCGAGTTTCTTCTGCTCCTTCTGTTTTTGCTTGGATGCCTTATCGTCCTCATCCGTTTCCTGAGCCTGTTTCTTGGGCTGCTTCAGGGGCTTCTTGCCACCTTCGTGGCCGGACATGGCGCCTGCTGCCCCTCTGATTTTATAATTTTAAGATAATAAATCATCATTTTATAATAAAATCATCATTTCATAATAAATGATGATTCTTTCAAAAGTAAGAATACATTGCCAAATACATTGTCAGAGACGTAGTACAGGTGTTTAAGGCTCTTACCTTGTATGTGGCACCCTAGTTCAGTCCCTGGTACCACATAGAGTTGGTCCCCTAAGCATTGTCAGGGTTGACCCTTAAGCACAAAACTAGGAGTCGCCCCTGAGTACCAAAGCAGTTGATGCAAATTGTTAAATTTTTTGAAAGATTTAATAAATTTAATAAATTTAAACATAGTAAAGTTAATAAATCTCTCCTAGGAGTATATGAGTGTATCATTCTTAACCACATTATTATCAGCCTTAAGTACTTAAATTTTTTTATTATTGTTGATTTAGTATTGTCATTTTGAAATCAGTTGATCTAATTTATAATTACTGCTGAAATAGCTCTTTGTGTGTGTGTGTATGTGTGTGTGTGTGTGTGTGTGTGTGTGTATGTGTGTGTGTCTGTTTTCTTTTTTTAGTCCCAGATTATCTACATGTCTACCAATGCCAGGATTTAGCCTGTTTGATCTCACACTTTATTCTCTTTTTCTGAGGCATGGGGTTGGGGTATGGAAAACTGTTTTGGACCACACCCAATTATGCTCAGGACTTACTCCAGGTTCTGTGCGCAGGCATCACTCTAGTTGGCGCTCTGGGACTCTTACGTGGTACCAGGGATTGAACCAAAGTTGACTGTATATAAGACAAACATTCTAACCCTTGTGCTATCTCGCCAGTCCTTCATTTTTTTTTTAATTAAAGAAAATTATATTTTGGTTTTGGGGCCACAACCATTTTTTGGACTTACTGTCGACTTTTTGCGCAGTGGTTGCCCCCAGTACCTACTGGGCCATACAGTGATGGATGGAGTATGAATCCCCTACTTGCAAAGCACGAACTCAACTCTTTGAACTGTCTCTTTGGCCCACACTCAATTCTCTTTCTATTTTCGCTCCCTCCCTTTTCACAGGGGTTTGACCCCCGTCGAAACTACATTTTCAGATTCTTTGTTTTGTGTGTGTGGGTTCAGCTATGGCTGCACCAGCTAGCCAGAGGTTACAGTGCAGAAAGAAGGGGGAATTCAGGGTGTGTCTCTCTCTCTGTTTATGTCACCATCAGCCTCATGTGCGGCCACCACCTTGCCTCCTGTTCTACCCCCCAGCTCTCCGTCCCACTGTTGGAAAAATGTATCACAGTTTGCTCGCCGATTTTTCTGCTCAGGGTAACCTGGGCTGCTTTAGTTTCGATCTGCTTTTTTATTTGGCGTTTTCTTTTGTGTTTTGAGAGTTTCAGAGCTTAGATTTGTTACTGTAGAAGGTTTGGGTTCATTGAAACTTATTTGGCATTACTGGACGTTTTGTTTTCCTAAAATTAAAAACGATCCTTTTCCTTTATTATCTGTTCTAGTTAATTCAGTAAAACAAAAAATTCAAATAATGGATGGATAATGTATCAGAACAAACTGTAATATGATTATTATGTATAAGAAGATGAATATGTTTTAACTTAGCATATGAAATTCTGAAATAACACATTAAATGCTATTACAAAATGTTATCAGAAAATTGCATATGTATATATAGTGCAGTAAGCCATTTCTTTTCACTATGATCTGAGACTTAAAATGTGCTTTATTTTTAATGAGATTTGGGTACATGTATTGCCTAATGTCCACTACTACTCTGTTAGAAGAAATTCTTGGCACTGCTATGCTTTTTATTTAATTGAAATTTTTATCTAATTGAAATCAGTTATGCTCATTTGCATGTAAATAAGTATCCCTTTTCCCTGATACATTAAGTAATAGAGCATGTAACTTAATATTAGATGAGAAAACTTTCTTTGTAGATTAAATAGAAATAGTTAATTAAACTTTGAATCCTCCCTCCATCCTTCCCTCCTTTCCCCTCCGTCTTGCCCTCCCTCCCTTCCATTTTCTCCCCTTCCTCCCTTCTTTCCTTCTTTCCTTCCTTCCTTCCTCCCTCTACTCTTCTCTCCCCTCTTCTCCCACCCTGTGTGGTTTGCTCAGGGATTCTTGGCCCAGTAGATAATGTGAGGGTCCAAGGAAGCTGTGCTCTGGTCAGGGTGGACTCCAGGATTGCTTCCGGAGATTCTCAAGGCACTAAACAGTACTGGGCATCAAAGCAGGATTGGCTGTATGCGCTTTTTTCCTTGTAGCATCTTTCTGGCCCTTTTAATTTCTTTCCTTTTTTCTTGTTTAAGTTTTAGGTCACACTGGCGGTACGTAGGGGCTACTCATAGCTCTGTGCTGGAGGAACTTTTTGGTGCCACGTGCACACGCCTTGACCTCTATCCTAGCCCTCTGCCCCACTCTCTTTTCTTTTAATTTTTTAAATACTTTTTGGTTTGGAGGCAACGCCCAGAGATGCTCAAGGCTTACTCATGGCTCTGAGCTCAGAGATGACTCCTGGTGGGCTCAGGAGACCATCTGGGGTGCTGTGACTGAAGTAATGTGGGTTGCATGCAGGATAAGCATCTTACCTGCTGGACTATCTGTCCAGCCCCTACTAATTTATTTCTTGGCCCAGAATGCATTTCTTTACCCAAGTACATTTCTGTTTTCATAGTTTTGCAGTGGATGGTTTGATTGACAGGGGTAATGAAAGAAAGATGTACAAGAAAGAGAGGGTGATGGAGAGAATTTATCTGGATACTTCTCAGATGATGGAGAATTTTTACTGGAGCCAGATGAGAAGGACAGTCAGACCTTGGAGAGACAACAAAGGGGAGTGTTGAGATTGGAGGATGGAGTTTGAAAGGCAGAAGTGGGACATCATTCATTGTACCCAGGAAGACTAGTGATAGCCTGTGACCCGAGAAATAGGAGAACAGAGGCCTGACTGTTTTACATTTCTTTTTTGTTACCTCTGTAAGCAGTATGTGGTCACTACGTTCACCGCAGTTTCAGCTGGGGTGTCCTGGGGTTGAGTCTAGCTTCAGCTCTTACAAGCTCTGTGACCATGGACACTTGGCTACAATGGTTGCAAATGTAAAACAGACTTACACTAGGCACTTCACAGGGCAGATGAGAGAAGCGAGAGCAGAGCCCATCACAGTTCTAGGCTTTTAACATCTTTCTTTCTTTCTCTCTCTCTCTTTATTTCCCTTTCTTTTCTTTCTTTCTTTCTTTCTTTCTTTCTTTCTTTCTTTCTTTCTTTCTTTCTTTCTTTCTTTCTTCTCTCTCCTTCCTTCTTTCTTTCTTCCTTTCTTTCTTTCTTTCTTTCTTTCTTTCTTTCTTTCTTTCTTTCTTTTCCCTTCCTTCCTTCCTTCCTTCCTTCCTTCCTTCCTTCCCTTTTTGTTCTTTCTTTTCTTTCCCTTTCTTTTTCTCTTTCCCCCCTCCTTCCCTTCCTCCCTCCCTCCCCCCTCCCTCCCTCCTCCCTCCTTCCCTCCCTCCCTCCCTTCCTTTCATCCTCCTTCCCTCCCTCCCTCCCTCCCTCCCTTCCTTTCATCCTCCTTCCCTCCCTCCCTCCCTCCCTTCCTTTCATCCTCCCTCCCTCCCTCCCTCCCTCCCTCCCTCCCTCCCTTCCTTCTTTTCCTCCTTCCTCCCTTCCTTTCATCCTCCTTCCCTCCCTCCCTCCCTCCCTCCCTCCCTTCCTTTCATCCTCCTTCCCTCCCTCCCTCCCTCCCTCCCTTCCTTTCATCCTCCTTCCCTCCCTCCCTCCCTCCCTTCCTCCCTTCCTTTCATCCTCCTTCCCTCCCTCCCTCCCTCCCTCCCTTCCTTCTTTTCCTCCTTCCTTCTTTTCCTCCTTCCTTCTTTTCCTCCTTCCTCCCTTCCTTTCATCCTCCCTCCCTCCCTCCCTCCCTCCCTCCCTCCCTCTCTCTTTCCCTTCCTTCTTCTCTCCCAGTTCAGGCCCACTGGCTAGTTCTCACAGGCTATTCTTGACTTTGTGCTCAGGAGAGACCCCCTGGTATTTCTTGGGGAACCATATGTATTGCCAAGGATTTTATCTGGTCTGTCCGGATGCAAGGCCAGTGCTGTAACTTCTACACTACCTCTCTGGCCCCTGAAATTTTGTTTCTTTCCCAGTGAAGTGTAAGATATCTTTAGTTGTAAGAATAGGTTTTTTGCTCTAGTTTATTTATGTTTAGTATATAGTATGGGATGGTGAGATGGTTTTTTCGTCCCGCCTTATTTCCCATCCAAACAAAACACAGGTTATATTCATGCTCCTGTTTCAGGAAGGTGAATGAAGCCAGGGTGTCTAGAAAGCATGGCGACTGGCAGTGTGCTCTGCTGAAATTGCATTAGTTATGCCCTGATGACCAGACAGCAGGGCAGAGAAAGCCAACCACGCTGCTAACTCAGACACAGGCTTGTTTTTGCTTCATCTCACAGAAGATTCTAGCAGAGCCTGACTTGTCCTGCCCAGGCCTCTCTGCTTCCGCTGTCAGCCCGAGGCTGCAGTGTGCTCTCCCACCCGGCCTTGTCTTTGGATCCAGGAGCCCCTCCTTTGAGAACAATTTTTCTTCGTTTCTTTTGCACCCAACTTCTTACCCACTCTCCAGCACGACTCTGCAGTATCCCTTGGGATGATGATGCTCAACATGGGAGCTGTTAGCCACATGTGGCTGGTGAGATGTAAATCGATTAGGATTAATCACATCTAAAAAATTCAGTTGCCTATTGTATTTCAAGTCTCTTTTTATTTTTCTCTTTTCTTTTCGGTGTTTGGGCCACACCTGGAAATACTCATGGGTTACTCGTGGCTCTGCATTCAGGACTACTCCTGGCGGTGCTGGGGACCATATGCAATGCCGGGGATCACACCCAGGTCAGCCATATGCAGGGCTGACCTGGGTCTGATCCCCACTGTACTATCTCTCTGGTCTATTTTAAATCGTCAGTCACTTTTGGCTTAGGACTTCTATGTTAGAGAGCACAGCTAGGAACTTTCCTGTCATACAGTTTTCTGTTGAACAGCTCTCGCGAGCTTAATCAGACATGTCTCTGTGTTGCCTCTTCTTTTGTTCTCAATTACACTTGACTGTTGTACTTTTGTTATCATTTGCAAACACCACTGTTTCCCTTTTGAACTGTGAAAGTTTGGAGGGTAGAGATATTATTCTCTTCATCTCTGTATACTTGGGTTTGAGTTTAGCATGTTTAACAAATACTAAACAGAAATTGGAGTTGAGTTGGTTCAGTGAATTTCAGATGAGAAAATCTCTATTTGAAGACTTACAGTAATGCATGCACATGGGAGCATGTTCTTATTTGCATGCATGTACATGTGTTTATAAATTAAAAAAAAATTTAAGGTAAAGGTAAAGGCCCTCCCGTTGATCGTCGATTTGCTCGAGCGGGCCCAGCAACGTCTCCATTGGAGACTTTGTTGTTACTGTGTCTGGCTTATCGAATACTCTCGGTAGCTTGCCGGGCTCTCCGAGAGGGGCGGAGGAATCGAACTCGGGTCGGCCATGTCGGCTGCGTGCAAGGCGAACGCCCTACCGCTGTGCTATCGCTCCAGCCCTTCTAAGCCAACTTAAAACCCATTTACTTACTTATCAGGAACTTACTGAAATAATAATACAATAAACATGTATAGGCTGTCCCTAGTGTCAAAAGCAGTGAACATTTTGCTCTAAAGCCTGGCAAAACATTTACTTTGTTTCTCATACTTCTTTCCTTCCTTCCTTATTTTTTAGTATGCACAGGATCACTTGTTTTCTGTTTTATTCAGTTTGAGGTTTGTGTTTTCATCCTTTTCAAATTTTGGTTCCCATTCCTATCTCACATATTCCATTTCTACTCTGGGCCTATAAGACGTTCACTATGGATTTAATTTCTGAGCCAGGTAAATGTCTTCCACAAAACAGGCTGGAGAGCATGCTTTGCCTGAGTTTGATTCCCTATATGGTTCCCCGAGCATTGCCAGGTGCAGCCCTGGAGCACCAGGCTGGGAGCAGCCCCTGAACACCACCAGGTGTGACAACCCCTCAGAGAAAGACAATTAATAAATAAATAGTGACCTTGTCCTGAATGCATTGCTTTGCACCTGACATCAAGGTTTCTCTCCAACTTCCTTTTGACTGGTTTTCAGTTGTCGTTTTTAATCAATCAATTAATTTTTGTTTTGGGAACCACACCCAGTGGTGCTCAGGGCTTACTTCTGGCTCTGTGTTTGGCGTTCACACCTGGTGAGGCAGGGGGGGCCCATATGTGATGCAGGGAATCAAATCTGGGTTGTCTTTGTGCAAGTCAAACGCCCTACCTGCTGTGCTAGTGTTCCTTGTGTGATTATATTTTAAATGAAATCTGATGTAACTCATTCAAGGCTCTCATTTTTGTCTTAAGCAGTTTTGTGATTACTCAGATATTTTAATTGTTTGCTTTTTGACTTCTCACCTAATGTTGCCCTTCCCTCCAATTTTTCTGCTTTTTTTGTTCTCGTCTCTTTCAGTTTTTGTTTTTATTTGGGGGCCATACATGGTCATGCTTAGGGTTTACTCCTGCCTCTTTGCACAGGGATCACTCCTGGTAGGCTTGGGGGCCATATGGGATTCCATGGATTGGGAGAGGGTGGGCTCTAAAGTGTCCCAGCTCTAGCCACATATACAGCCATACAACGCTTCCAAATTACACAGCACTGACTTCCCAATACGAGTACAGCAAATTAGATGGGAAAGTAGCATGGAAGCCCACCAAGCTCAATATATTTGATTGTAAAATTTATTGTTTTAGTCTGATTTGGGTATTGAATAGGAAGGATAAGCAAATTGGGATGGAGCGATAGCACAGCAGGTAGGGTGTCTGCCTTGCACGCGGTCGACTCGGGTTCGATTCCTCCACCCTTCTCGGAGAGCCCGGCAAGCTACTGAGAGTGTCTTGCCCACACGGCAAAGCCTGGCAAGCTACCCGTCACATATTCAATTGCCAAAAACAGTAACAACAAGTCTCACAGTTTGTTGTGAGACATTACTGGGGCTCACTCGAGCAAATCTATGAACAACAGGACAGTGACAGTGACAGTGATGAGCAAATTAGGACCAGGAAAATATAGTCTTTTGAGTACCTGAAGATCTGAATCAGTTTGCCTTGAAGACTGCTCATAATGAAAAAGGTTTTCTCTTTCTCGTAGGGCTGCTGCTCAGAGTAAATTAGGTCACTACACAGATGCAATAAAGGACTGTGAAAAAGCAATAGCGATTGATTCAAAATACAGCAAGGCCTATGGGCGAATGGGGTAAGTTCTCGAAGAACATTCAGCACTGTACCAAGCAGCATCAAGTACACTGCTCTTATGTCTTGGCTTTGAATCGACTGCATGATATCGCGCTCTCTGGAGTAATCGGGAGACAAATGTAATATTTCGGGAAGAAAGGTCTAGTTTTTGACTCGGGAGAGAGACGATTAGTTGTATGGGTGGTTCTTAGCGAATATTACACAGCCATACTGAGGAGACTCCATGTCCCGGGCCATTATTGGCCAGTGAACACTCAGTACTCTGGCAGATGATCTTACTGTACTTTTTCTAAGTTCATCCCACCATTCTCTGTGGTGACTGTCTCACACACACACACTCTTCTTCGATTTCTACAACAGCCCCCATAGAGATTCTCAGTCTTTGTTGAGAAGATACAGTTCTAATATTTAGCTCTATCATTTACAGTGGGTACGGCGTTTGCCTTGCATGTGACCAACTGGGCTGACCCGAATTTGAATCCTCCGCCCCTCTCGGAGAGCCCAGCAAGCTAGTTAGAGTATCTCACCTGCACGGCAAAGCCTGGCAAGCTACCCATGATATATTCGTTATGCCAAACACAGTAACGAGTCTCACAATGTTACTGAGCCCGCTCGAGCAAATCGATGAACAACAAAAGGACAGTGACAGGGATTCCTTAACACTACTGATGTACATTCATGAATCCTCTTGACCCCTGTTCCTGTTGCTTCTCATCCATCTTCTCTCCCTTTCCCCTTCACTCTTCTTTTTTCTTTTTTTATTTTATTTCTTTTTGGGTCACACCTGGCGATGCTCAGGGGTTACTCTTGGCTCTGCACTCAGGAATTACTCCTGTCGGTGCTCAGGGGACCATATGGGATGCTGGGAATCGAACCCAGGTTGGTTGCATGCAAGGCAAATGCCTTTTCCGCTGTGCTATCACTCCAGTCCCCCCCCCCCCATTCATTCTTACTTCTTTCCTCCTCCTCCCTCTACTTTTGTGGCCAAGGATAATCTAGGCTCCTCCCTTTAAACCACTGCATTTCCTCGTTCAGTTACTCAAAATACCACATAGACTCAACAACACTGAGATAACAAGACCCAAATTTTAATAACCAAACTTAAAAGGTACCTGTCAAGATGGCAAGCTGGGGTTGCGGTGGGTGGGTGGAGAGAGAACCTGAGAGCACTGTTGGAGGGAAGTTGACAAGGTGGCATGTAGGATGACATTGCTTTGTACTTTCTCCCTTTCTCCACAAGGAGCTTAGGTTTATCAGGTTACACACATCACAGTGCTCCCAAATCACTCCCATTCCTTCCTTTATCTGTAACCACTTCTCTGTGCTCTCTTCCCTAACCAGTTAATCAGCTTTTCCCCCCTAATCAGTATCTATTCCTTTGTAAGGTCAGATCCTTCTAGGACACTGAAATTGTATTGTAAGTTAATATTGCCTTTCTCCTCTCCTTATGTCTTCTGAATAGTTTAAAGCAATGCCCTTTTTGTATAGATACAGGAAGACTGTTAACATAATGCTTTGTAACTTAGGATTTAATTGGCTCTGAATATTATTCACTCCTGGGCATCTGCTTTCTCGACTTAAGCCTCAGTTGTCCTTGGTTCCTAACATCCCAAAAGCAGGGTCCCAATGAGGGACTGAATGGACCCAGGGCAAGCGGTGAGCTACCCTGGCATCAAAATGGGCCAGGCCAGAGTTCCACGATTCTTAACTGTAAGTTAAGAGTTTGATCATAGACAAATGCTGTCATGGTCCAAAGGTAACAACGAGACTAGGACCCTGCTAGAGATAGGAAAGACTATCTGGCCTGAGCACCGTAGTCTGAGATAGAGATGGCCCTAGGAGAGCAATCCTACAAGTTTAAGGTATTTCTTACTGTATCCATACAAAATGATTTATATTATGTATGCTTATATGTTTGTTGGACAAGGAGAGGAGAACACACCCATGGGATTCCATTCTAGTGTGGGTCATCCTGCTGAGAGAGGATCTGTCCTAGGAGCAGCTTTCCCTGAGGGAAAGAATTCTGCTCCTATTGATTGTGACCACACCTACGTGTAATTGTTACCCCAACCCCTCATGCTTTGGGATTTAACTGTACTGCAAGAGTGGGCTGGGGGATCAGAATTGAGACTCCAGAGGAGGATGAAGGGGGATAGAGAAAGAGAATGAAGTGGCATGGGGGAGGAAGAAGCAGGAGGAGAATCAGAGAATGGAGATGAGAATGGAATAAACTGCAACTAAGACCAACCAGCCTGGCCCTCGTTCCTTCCTTTGCCTGCCCATCGCCATCGACCTCCCTGGTGTGGGGGAACCGGCGTGAGACACCGAACGCTGGTGCTGGTGGCGGGAGAGATAGACCGCAGCCGCTGTTGTCTTTTTTTGAGCTTACACTGTGGCAGGATCAGTGATGGAACGTTGTATTCATAGTTGAAAGACCAACTATGAATAATTTTGTAACTCTTGGTGCTTTAATAAAATAAAAGTTGGGGGTGGGGGCGAGAAAAAAATGCATTTTGCAGAAAAGTAACATACCATCTGACTTTGCAAATCTGTCAGTCTACCTGCATTTGTTTACGCTGAATGACTTTATTTTTGGTTTTAGTATCATATCCAGCTTGGGTATGCATCTAGCTCTTGGCTCTGCATTCAGGGGACAGGATGACTTTTTTTTATGGTTTTGGGTCACACCCAGCAGTACTCAGGGATTACTCCTGACTCAGTGCTCAGGGATCGCTCCTGGCAGTGTAAGGTGGACCATATGTGATGGCGGAATTGAACCTGGATTTACCACGTGTAGGACAAATGCTCTCCCCACTGTACTATTGTTCTGACCCTTAAATGGAGTGAAAGCAGAGCGGGTAGGGTGTTTGCCTTGCACGTGGCTGACCCGGGTTCGATTCCTCCGTCCCTCTCAGAGAGCCTGGCAAGCTACCGAGAGTATCCCACCCTCACGGCAGAGCCTGGCAAGCTCCCCGTGGCATATTCGATATGCCAAAAATAGTAATAACAAGTCTCACAATGGAGACATTACTGGTGTCTGCTCAAGCAAATCGATGAACAGGAGGACAGTGTTACAGTGCTAAATCTTTCTTATCTCCTTGAATGATATCATTATTTACTTTCTAAGTGCCTAGGTCAAAAGTTTAGGAGGCGTCTTTTTTTTTTCTTAATTTATTTCTATTTTTAGCCACACCTGGTGGTGTTCAAAGTTTACTCTTGGCTCTGTGCTTAAGGATCATTCCTGATGGTGCCTGGGAGTCTATATGGGGTGCAAAGGATTCAACCTGGGTTGATCATATGCATTCCTCTTTTTGTTATTTGCATGTTTATTGTCTTCTCTTACAAACTGAATACTTTTACCTTTTCACCATGGAATATAAAATAGTGCTGAGTACACAGTATGGCAGCAGTAAATAGTGATTATTGACTAATCACATGTTAGGGCGGTGCTTGCCTGACATGCAGCAACCTGGGTGGATTCCTACTATCCCACATGGTCCTCCAAGCCCACCAGGAAAGATTTCTGAGTGTAGAGTCAGGAATAATCCCTGAGCACACCCAGGTATGGCCCAAAAACCAAAGCATTAAAATTAAGTTGAACAACAGGCAGATTGTTGGGGAGGGCATTTGTCCTACACGTGGTAAATATAAATACCATATATTTATATTATTATAATATTTATATTATATTTGTATTATTATAGTTTTTAGGCTACACCCAGCTGTGTTCAGGGCTTTTTCCTGGCTTTGTGCTCAGGGATCACTTCTGAAGGGCTCAGAGGACTCTATGGGGTGCCAGGACCCAGCCCTGGGACTGCATGCAAGGCAAGTGCCCTCTGTACAGGCTTCAGCTCCCCAGGATGCGTATTGAACAGCGGCTGTCATCATGCCAAGGCGGGTGTCTGGATTTAAAGCAATTTGGAGTCTGAAGCTGTGATACGACAAAGCAGTTGTATGCAATGTGAATTAGAACGGAATGCCAGCATTGATGTTTTACTGTGCTTGTGATCTCTTGTCCATGATCTCTTGTTCTTTAATCATGTCTCTTTTTCACTCTTAATTCTCTGCAGGTTGGCCCTCACAGCCATGAATAAATTCGAAGAAGCAGTTACAAGTTATCAGAAAGCATTAGATCTTGATCCTGAAAATGATTCCTATAAATCGAATTTGAAAATAGCAGAACAAAAGTTAAGAGAGGTATCCAGTCCTGTAAGTTATTAGTGCCATTTAAGTTAAGCCGCAATCCATGGTAATGGAACTGTTAATAGTTAATTTTTTTTTTTTTGCAGACAGGAACTGGATTAAGCTTTGACATGGCTAGTTTAATAAATAATCCAGCTTTCATTAGTATGGTGAGTATATTTCCTTTTCTCTTCTACAGATCTTTTTCTACAGAACTATATCACAGCAGAACTTTAGAGATGATACAGGAGCTTGTCTGGTGGTGGTACGAATAGCATAGGAATAATTATATTATTATTAGAGCTAAGGCATTAGCTCAGAGCTAAGGCATTTCTTATTGGGGAGAGAGTCTCTCAAGCTGTGCTCAGGAGACCTGGGTTTCCTCCTAGCAAGGGCATTGCTGGGGTCAGTGACTACAAGGCATGCGCCTTAAACCCTGTACTCTCTGTCTCTCTCTCTGCCACCTAAGGCTGAGGTTCCTAATTTTGTGAAAGGCCATTGATGGGACATCAGGAAGCCCATGAACCCAAAATTCTATATAAAATTTTGTATGCACGTGTCTTTTTCTAGGAGAGAACTGTCTTTTTCATCAGAACTGGCAAAAGGATCAGAAAATTTACAAATGATTAAAAACTACTCTCTTCCATCCATGAGATCCTAGGAAGATACCTAATAACTGAGGTGTGAGGATTTTGGTTATCTGTGGTTCCCCAAGCTCACCTCTTCACACTATCTGCTTCCTTTCTCTTATTTGACCTTTTATAATCCTCCTTAAATACATGTATTCCATCCTTTCAGACCTATAGAAAACTCTTTGGACCTTTTTGAAAACACTCATGCCTTGCTCCCATATGCTGAAACTCTAGTGTTGTAGGTCAGGAAGTCTCCCGGGCTTATAAAGATCCCTTGGGTGCTTGGGTGACTTTATACTTCTGGCTGAGAACCATTACACCAATGGCTACTCTCTTGGAATTCTGAGCTGCTTTTTGTTTTTTGGGGCCATACCCGATGGTGTTCAGGGGCTATTCCTGGCTCTGTAATCAGGAATTTCTCCTTGGTTTATTTAGGCACTGTATATGGGACTGGAATCAAACTCAGGTTTCCCACGTAAAAAGCATGCCATGCCCTTAGGGCACTGGAGGATAGTACAATGGAAGTGCACACTTGCTTTGCATGTGGGCTGACTCAGGCTCTATCCCTGGCACCCCATACAGTCACCTGAGCCTGCCAGGTGTGGTCCCTAAGCATCACTGGTGTAACCCAAAAACAAAAACAAAAAAAAGAGAAGAAAAATCTCCAATTTACTTGAAATACAGAGACAACTTGTTCCCAGTGAAAGAAAGAAGTGTTTGAACCATTGGCAGGTGTGTAGCAATTGGCAGTTTCAATTTGGTAGTCCAAATCAGCATTTCTTATCTTAGGCTACTGGAAAGTATTGGGGAAGTGTTTCAGTTGAAAATCTTGTAAATGGGGGACCTTGGAATGAGAACATGGAGCCAAACAGTTGGAGAAGGGGGCCACAGAAAGGAAACAAGGAATGAAGGGAACCAGGATCAGAGAAAGGTCCAGAAACAATGTTTTCTACAATTAATTTTGTAGAAAACAGTTAATTTTTGAATCCCTGGTCAAAAATGAGTACCGGAAAAAGCCTCCATTTGCTTTTTATTACCAGAAAGATGATTATTTGTAAATTTAATCAAATAATCTCTTTGCATCTCAGGATTTGTACCACTGGGCTAATCAAATTTTACGTGGTTCTCTAGATACAAACCAACCAAACATATATCTTTATGACCTTTGAAAAAATTGTTGTATGGGGAGAAAGCTCAGTTAGATAGCACAAACTTTGCATGCAGGAGGTCTGGGTTTATCTCCAGGACCACTGGGTCTTGTAAGCAGTACTGGCCCACAGACCAGTGCCATTCTGCAGGGGGAAGAAGATTGCAGACCACTGTGTTGGAGTACTCTCAAACTGGATCCTCACAAATGAAGATTGTCGAACTGAACACCCAACTGAGTTTTTGTTTTTCCTTACGGCTTTATTGATCTGACATTTTGTGTGGTATAAGCTATTGCTGTTAGTGGTCCTTATATGGTCTGCAATATCTCTATACTTACAATGTAATTTTAATGCAACTTTTCTAGTATCTCTTCTTTTTCACATTCCAGTTTACTTTGTATAGATCATTCCTCTTCTATGGAAAAAAAAGTAACTTTGTTAAAAATGTCTAAATATCAACTCTCTTCTAATGATAGTTGCCATTTTTTTTTAATTCCAGGCAGCAAGTTTAATGCAGAATCCTCAAGTTCAGCAACTGTAAGTAAACAGTAAGAGGTCGTTGAGTGTCACTCAAATTGCACTTAAAAGTCAGACACATTCAAACAATTATCCTACATAATGTGGGCATAATTAACTGACTTTTCCTTGGCTGCTACTTTACTTGTAACAGTTTATGCCAATCCCTGTGACCCATCTCTTGCTTCCTCTAGAATGTCTGGAATGATGACAAATGCCATTGGGGGGCCTGCGGCTGGAGTCGGGGGTCTAACTGACCTGTCCAGTCTTATCCAAGCGTGAGTATTCATTTAACCTGTAGATAATGGAAAACACACACACAGATACACACACACACACACACACAGAATCTTCAAGGTGAGACATTTACTCAAATATTTTTTTTTCTGGGAGTAAATGATTATATCTCACTACCTGAGCACATCAATTTTACTTCCCATCTTTATTTGCTTAAGATAATTTTTTTTTCATTTTCTTTTTAATATTTTGTGTCACGTCCGGCAGTGCTCAGGGCTCAGTCCTAGCTCTGCAGTCAGAAATTACCCCTAGAGGGATTCGGGGACATAAGTGGTGCTAGGAATCAAACCCAAGCCAGCTTGGTGTACTATCTCTTTGGTTTGTTTGTGGTCATGATTGTGTAATCCCAGTGGCAATATATGATTTTTAGAGTGATCAGTCAGTGACATGATTATAGTCACATCAATCCTGGCAACACACTTAGAAATTTGAATTAAATTTCTTTCACTTGAAAAAAAAAAGTTCCAGGGCCAGAGATAGTATAGAAGGTAAAGCCTTGCATGCTGTCTACTTGGGCCTGACCCCCTGGACACCACATGTGGTCCCCTGAGCACTTCTAGGAGTGGTCCCTAAGTACAGAGCCAGGAGTAATCCCTGAGCACTGCAAGGTGTACCATCTAAATAAAACAAAACAAAAATAAAAACAACCAAGAGTCAGCTTCTACAAATACCTGAAATGAAGGTGATCCATGTCATATGAAACTATTAAAAATTGATTGTAAAAGCAAATAAAAAAATGAAAGGCATGCACTTTTTTTTTTTTTTGGTTATTGTTATTGGTAGTTAAGCATTGTGGGGAGAGGGGAGTTAAACCAAACAATTTCATCAAGGGAATTTCAATAGAATTTCACTCTCTAGTTCGGTGTTTCATTTTTGTATAAAGACTAGTGTATTCTAGTAATGCTATATGGATACATTAGTAAACTTGCAGAAACTAAAGTCATTCTAAAATGTTTATCATGAATAAGATTCCAACTTCCTAAAGGAAGTATTCATATACTTTGTAGTTATTCTTATTTTTGGCAGGGTACTGTGTTAATGAAAATTCCTTAATTCATATCATTGGCTCTTAATCACAGGGGACAGCAGTTTGCTCAGCAGATACAACAGCAGAATCCAGAACTTATTGAGCAACTAAGAAATCATATCCGAAGCAGAACCTTCAGCAGCAGCACTGAAGAACATTCCTGATTCGGGTCTGGGCACCCTACACACAATACAGATGGTTTATGGCACTGAAGTATTTGCTGTAGATAGTGGCCAAAACAAACAAAAACTAAAGAGAAAATCTGTTTAGATAATAGGTTTATCACAAACAGACTCAACATAACATGATTCCTTTGTAAATGACCAGTAGCCTTATTAAGTGCCCAGATAGCACCAAACAGGCTTCCATTTCCAAACTTTGGTCATCATATTTGTACATTAGACTAATAGCAGAGTATATTTATTGAAAGGTAAAGTGAGTGTTCTTAGCTCCAGATTTCCATAAGCAAACTTCTTTGAAATGTGGATATGGCTAGGAAGAAAGATACAGGCATAGGACAAATTTACTTGCCTTGAGCAGCAAGTTCAGAGAGAAGAAATGTCATTTAGGTTTTGGTTAGCTGTGATAGGATTATCAGTCAGGAGTATCTATGAGGGGCTAATACCATCTTTAGTGATACTTGTTATGATGGTTTTGGGAATCTCAGAGCCGATGGAGAGCAGGATTTGGTGCAAGGGATGTTTCGAAAAGAAGAAATAGATGCTGTGAATGTATAGAAATGAAGTAGGTAGTATGCTCAGGCTTTTTGCATAGTTCTTTACTAATCTTGCCTGCAGTTTGGTTATTGATAACATTAGCATGGCTAATTATGCTAAGTACATAATAAAATACATTTAGAAATCCTTAATGGTATTGGTTAGTCAGTTGAGTAACTGTTCAATTTAGCGAATACAATTTTCCCAGTGGTGATCTTACTATGGAGACTTGCAAATATGCCTACATTTAAATAAACCAGTGCGAGGCCCTAATTAAGGATTTCCTAAGTGGCATTTAATTATGCTCCCATAAATTCTGATTTTTTTAAACTGCAGTCCTTATTTGGTGAATTACATAAAGCCTCTATCACTAACATTGCTTGTTCATGTAAACTGCACTACTTGGCTTGGCTTGTCACTTTTATGCTTAACTCTTAATTTGATGCAATTTATAACATGGAATTTAAAATATTTTGAAATTTGAATGTGGAGAGAGGTGGCATTAGATAATAATAGATGGTTCTAACTATAGTGTAGATGAGACCATTTTAATTCCAAATTCAATTTCTTTCTTAATTATGAAATTGGTTAAGTTGGACAATCAGATTTTACAACTACTCTGTGGGAAAACGGAAAAAAGGTTACATAAAGTTAAATTAGTAATACTGATGATCAGGGTCTTGCTATAACTGTTCTCAAAAGATGAATTACTTGGTATCTTCAAGTTTAAAGACCAGTTTCTCCTTTATGAGATTATAATAGCAGTTCTTTGGGGAATTTGTTACAAAATACAAAGACCTACAATTTTTATTTAGTAGGACTTATAACTAGGCCTAGAAATCACCATTTTATAGAGCACTAAAGGTGAATTTGATGTAGGTTCAGTGACTAATTTAGAATACTAGTTACATTTGTCCTCAGATCTGAAAAACAACCTAGGCTCAGCCTGTTAGATATATATGAACCTGCAGTAGTTATGGTCAGAGATACATGAGACTTAAATCTTAGGCCCTCTTCATTAAATTTCCTACATTATCTTTAAACTCACCAACGTTTTCATTAAGTTAAGTTAGTTGCTAGTATATAAGTGTTGTAGAGAATGATGGCTGTGAAGAAAAGGAAAAAAAAATAGCGAAGTTGATCCTTAATTAAAAATAGTCACTCTTACCCATGGTTGAATCAGAGTAAGTTTCTAGGCTAATTATCCTGAGAGCATTAACACCACTTTGGATCAACAACAACAAAGCACTCTAGTACACTGACTAGGCAAACAGAAATGCCCCGGGGATGATCACGGTATCCCTTATAGACATTAAGGGAATAATAATTAAGCATTAAGACCAACTCCAGATCTGTATATTTAACATCTTAGAAGAGACACATTCCTTGGGACCATAGAGATAGTACAGTGAGTAGGGCGCTTGCCTTTCATACAACCAGCCTGGAATCCGTCCTGGAGGGGCCCCACCAGGAGTGAATCCTGAGCACAGAGCCAGGAGTTAGGGCCTGAGCATCACTGGGTGAGGCCTCCAAACAAAAAGAGACACATTCCTTCAGATACAAAATTACCAAGGCTCAGGAAGAACTAGATATCCTCCAGAGAACTAGGTTTAGAGAACTTTTAATGCTGAATTTGAGCATACTCTTAAATGTGAGAAATACTAGCAACTCAATACAATCTCTTCTAGGAAACAGAAGAGGAAGCACTTCCCAACTCCGTTAGCCCTTTCTATGTAGCCAAAATCCAAGAGTTATGAGAAATGATGTGTGAATTACAATGTCTTGATTTTACAGTTGAAAATTTCTTCTGTTTCACCTTTGTTTCTCTGCTAATATGCCATCCATAACCAATTTATGTGATTTCTGTTCACTTAGCTGAATTTCCATTCTTGTCAAATCCTTTTAAGAATCTCTGCCACTTGGAATCACTGCTTTGTAAAATATTTTCTTAAAGATTTGTTTGGTTGGATTTTGCTAGTAACATTATAAAATTATAAGGTATGCTCCAAACACTGACATGAAACATTGTCTGAAAAAGTCTCAGTCTAAGTAGAGAAATAAGAAGGCATCAAAGTAAATACATATATATTCCATTTAGCAATGACTGACTTCCAAGAACATTTCATTGTATAGCTATAGCTGTTGTGCTTGTAAAATTTAAAATGCCCTCTTTATGCTAATGACATTCATTTAATGTACCAGATTGTTCATATGATTTATATAATATGGTTTATTTCTAATATCATTTCTAAGATGGCATATCTAACCTTACTTTTGAAAGTATGAATATGTGTCTAGGTTATAACTTAGATAACATGTAATTAGCAGATTCTAAGTGATTATTATATATAAGTTATGTTTAAATTTGGGCCAAAGAGATAGTACATGGACAGGGCGCTTGCCTTGCAGGTGGCTGACCCAGATTAAATCCCGAGCACCACATATGGTCCCCCAAGTCTTATCCAGAGTGTCCCTGAGTACAAAGAACCTGGCAGTGTGTGGCCCAAAAACAAACAAATTTCAAACAGTGAAACAGAAGGTTCAGTCATGAGAATATACTTGAAAAATAATCACAATATAGTGCAGTGACAATATCTTCACCAATCGATCTTAATAACTATGGGAAGAAAGGCAGATTTCAGTTTTAGAGTTTGCACTTTATTTTTCATAGGCGTTTCATTATTACTCCAAATTAAGGGGCAAATCTCATTTGGGTTATAGCTTTTATTCTGGGTCAAATAATTTGTCATGGCAATAAATAATCATGTATTTGAGAAAAAAACTTTTTGTATTTGACTTAATGCACTCATATACTTATAGGATTATGTATATATCTATACATATGTATTTTTTTAAATTTCAAATAATCAAAGTAAGTTTAACAGATTGAGTTTTAGTTTTCTTGACAAAATATTGAAGTTTTTATTACATTCGTCTTGCAAAGTGCTTACAAACTTAATTTTCTCATTTTAACTTGGTTCCTGACTTAAGTAAATAAGTGATTACACACAGAGAAAATTTTATGATATTAATGAATGGTTTAGAGTTCAAATTAATCATTAGGAGATAGAAATCCTTTCAATATGTCTAAAAGTCTACTTTCCAATGAAAAAAACAAGATATTTTGGCTGAGAATTGGTAAACTGTAAGAGTTTGTTGTCAACAGAGAAATAAATAACCTAAGAAATAAATTCAATTCTGTTATGTTGCTCAGTAATTGAAGTTTAAGACATGTGTACACAAATATGTAGTAATTGTGAAAATTATAAAAATTTATACTGTTAGTCATACAAGGACTAACCAAGTTTTGTTGTTGTTGACTAAGGAGCTAGAAAAAAACTGGTGTTTAACTGAAATAGTTTTAAATAAAATGTTACAAGAACATAAAAATCTAGGAAACAGCTCGCTCAGACTGAGGTCAGCAAACCAGTGTGCAGGTCAAATCCCCATTTCTATAAACACTATTATGCCTTTTACTACTGGCTTCTTCCTCCTTACAATAGCAGAGTTGAGTGTTTTTGACAGAAACCATGTGATGTGCAAAATCTAAAATGCTTCCTATTTGGTCCTTTTCATGGAGTTTGCTGATCCCGATGTTCTAAATCCTTGCAGGGGCCTTACCAAAATAATATATGCAGAAATTGTACAAACGTCTTTTACATAGAACACATGAGGTAAGGAGCGATAGCACAGCGGGTAGGGCGTTCGCCTTACAAGCGGCCAACATGGCCGACCCGAGTTTGATTCCTCCGCCCCTCTCGGAGAGCCCGGCAAGCTACCGAGAGTATTGGATATGCCAGACACAGTAACAACAAAGTCTCCAATGGAGACGTTACTGGGCCCGCTCAAGCAAATCGACGATCAACGGGAGGGCCTTTACCTTTACCTTTACATGAGGTAAAATCCACAGATTTGTCTTTTCAAAAAAAAATTTTAATATCCTGTTTTACAGAAAAGAAACTTACATAATATATATTTTTGCTATTGACTTGGTCTTTTTTACAAAGGTGACAGAATACCAAAAGTCCTGTGAAGCTCAAGGAAAAGAGTAACATTGGGAATTTTTCTTCAGTTTTCCACTTTCACAGCTGAAGAGACCACACAGACTTGCGCAATGTCGTCGTATTCGTATGTTCTCTTTAAGAACGTGTCTGTTAGTCTTAAGCCGGAAACACTCTATTGTGAGAAAGAAAATAGGTCCAAATTTTCACTCACTGCTTATTACCACAGAGAATATGGTATAATATACTATGGATTAATGAATACTGGAATTATTGAAAAAAGAAAGCATACTTGCAGTCCTTGCACTGAAGATAGCAGAGTAAGGGCAAGGCAGAGAGAGGAACTTGGATGTAGCTTTCCGAGTTGTCTTCCCGAAATGCCACACCAGTGGATAGAGTTGGTATTGCACATTTCCAAAACCAGATCCATGGTCCGTTCACTGCTAGAGGAATCAGAAAAAAGGAATAAATCTTGTTCCTTTCATAGACATGCTATGAACTTCTTCTGAGATTACCAGTGACTTTTTCTCTAGGAATCCAAAAATTAAAAAACAGGAACAAATGCAAGGCAAAGGAATTAAAAAAAATTTTTTAGTGAAGAGAGAAATTGGGGAAATAGAAGGAAAGGGCATATTCTAGGGTTTAAAATGTAGAGACTCCTGGGCCGGAGTAATTGTATAGTGAGAAGGGAACGTGCCTTGCATAAGGCCAACCTGGGTTCAATCCCTGATATCCCATATGATCCCCAGTGAACTGCTAGGATTAATTCCCGGGTGCAGAGCCAGGAGTAACCCCTAAATATCACTGGGTATGCCCCCCGAAAACAGAAAAATAAAATGTAGAGGTGCCTAATTTGTCCTTCTGGATACAGGCCTCTCGGTTCAAACACTTGCACTCTCGTGTTGATTTGTAACCAGGATGTCTATCTTGTTATGGTGAATTCTTCCTACTC